TATTATTATTATTATTTTTATTTTTAATAAAATGCTGAAGTGGTAGGTAGATGCAAGATAAAGGTAGAAAACATAGTTTAGTGCTGTAAGAAGGCAAATGTAGATGATCAGATGATCAGGTGTGTGCCTATGGACTAAGTATTAATCCAGGCTAGACAAGGGCAGCAAGACATCCACGGATGCAGAAGATTTCTCTCAAAGCAGGGGGGGTGAGGTTCTAAGCCTCACCTCTGTTGATCCCCAATTTCTCACCTGATGGCCCCCCTGCGACTGTGCCTGTCTTAGGTTGTTCCTCCCTTGAGGAATCTTACCCGTCTCTGGCTAACCAGTCATCTTCCGGGGCCATACAGGGAAATGTAAAGTTGGTAAGTGAGAGAGAAGCCTTATTGTTTGAAAAGGTTAGCTTTTTACTTCTTTGCATATTTATGCCCTGTGTCTTCTATGCCCAGCATTTGTCTTGAGGTATCTTTACCACTTGAAGGAATTATGATACACAGTAAATTCGATATGAGGCACGAATTCTATTTAAGAGTTGTAATTAGGAAGGAAGAAGAAAAGCTATAGAAGTAGAGACGGAAGAAAACATGGGAGGATTGATTAATTCTTTGACATATCTTCTTGTAAAGTAACTTCAGCATGTATAGATTTCAAACTACTAATTAAATTGTGCACACACATTAACATAATAGGAATACAGTTACATAAACAAAGCAGACCTACAATTACCAGCCATCTCCAGTGAAACCAAGAAAACCAGTTAGGTACCCTAGGCATTTGTGAAACTTATCTATGATATGGTGGATATTGTGCTTGGACTGACTTTTATAGAAGAGGTCTAAACCATCTTGTCCTCCATTATTCCATTTATAACTTAAAAGCAGAATAAATTGCTGCTCATTAATGTGTTGAAAATATTTGTTTTAGTGTGTATATTAATTTTAGGCAAATATGACAGAGTAGGGTTTAATTTTATGTTTTTACATAATTCCAAGTATCCTTATATAATCAATAAACTGTATACAGTTATGACGCTTTCATAGCACTTGGGGCATGATTTTACTCTGTTAAATTATTTTAGAGGATTGCAGCTGTAGCTTTTGTCTTTTTGACATGCTATTGATCCTGAGTATATTTTATCTGATACTGAGTCCTTGGTCAGCTTTTAATTACAATATTGTCCTAGAGAAGAAAATGTTCCGTTTTATGGAAGACATGATTTCTAAGAACACAATGTGGCAAAAAAGAGAAATAAAATCTAGGAACCCGTATTTATGGCTACAGTCAAAATGGTAACAGGAAACGTCTTAGAAAGGAAACTGGCTAGCAGATTGTAAGATGGATAATCAGCAAGGGCTTTCCAGAGAAAATAGGCTTCAATCTGTTATCTGAAGGAAAGGAAATAAAGACGAGATAACACTGCAGGTGGTTAGTTATTGTTTAACATCGTTAAGTTTAGGCCAAGTCACTCTACTCTACCTAACCCAGTTACCCACACCAGGTAAGAGAACAGTCAAGACATAGACAATGAACGTGTTTGTTTTCCTTTATAACATAACAAATCGTTACTGCTTGCCTACCATGACCCAGGCACTACCCTGGATCTTGGAGAATATAAAAATCATCATAATTTGGTTTTTATACTCAAAAGACTCACAACCCAATAGGGCAGACAGACAAGTAGATAGTGCAGTAAGGGAAATGCTTAATAGAGGTAGTGTTGGAGCACAAAGAAGCAGATAGCAAACATACATCTGCGGGCACAAAGGAGGCTCCTCAAGAAGTATGAAAGGATGGAGATGGAGACATCTAAAAAGAGGCTCAACACATCTTGTTAGGCCTGCCAAGGATGGCAGCCTCTCCCAAACACGGGCAGCCTCAGCCCATCTTGCCACCCTGACACATGGAAGGGAAACAGAGCATTCATCCTAAAGATGCCACTCTGCAGAGGAGAAGGCTCAAAGCCACTGTGTCTCCTCCCCCAAGGTCCCCAGTCCCTAGCACCATTGCCCACTGGACATCCCTGGTGATCCCATTGGTGCAGACCTGTCTCCGAGCCCCACCTCTGAAACTAAAAGGAAACAATGAGCTCCTTCTAAGACTTAGCAGGTGGGGTGTGAGTACATGTGATGTTTGGAGAAGTCACAATATTTTACCCCACACAGATCTTTGGAAATAATGGGGTAAATTGCAGGTTAGGACCCCTTCTCAACAGCCCATCAGTGTCCCAGCCTCCCATTTCCTCTCCAATTCACTCTTCTATGATGTGGCCCAAAGAAGCTTTTTCTCTACCTTTATTCTTTTGAAATTATTTTTCTTATATACTAAGATCAACACTTTTCATACTTAACCAAGAATTTGATGCCTTCATTCTCTGGCTCTGCATTCCCTTCCCCACTTCTAGGTGGCCCAATTAGGGACAGGGCTGTGCAGAGGTCCACAAGATAGAGGGAGAATGTTTTTTTTTAATCTATTAATATCTCATCCTTATTATACTTACGGTGTTTGTTGTCAACCAGAGAGGCAGTTGCTGTTGTCTAAAAATGCAACTGAAGAAAACTTTTAACCACATGGTTGAAAATTCAAAACTGAACAATTAGATCCACACCTGAAATACATCATGCATTAAACAAGCTTCCTCTGGGGTTACCTAAAAAACTAAACACCAATTGCAATCAGAGAGAAAAAGAGTTCCAAAGCCCAAATTTTGTTTTCATGTATTGTATAGATGACTTTGTTAATGTGCATTCTGATACCTGAATTTATATACCACATGCTGTGTGGGTTTATAAATGCACAGGCTGATGTTTTGTATATCCATAGTATCAAGAGTTTCTTGTTTCTATCATATTATAGATATGCTTATATTATGGAATATATACAATCTCTGCTTTCTTTTCATTTAAGCAAATTTCCCTAATTGAAACTAATTAAATTCAAGCTAATTTTCCATCTTAGCAGTAACTGACCAATCTTCTGCAGATTTTTTAATGATAAGAAAGGAGTCTTTTTTGGCAGTGATCCTGAGTAGTGGCCACACACAAGCATAAATATTCCCTGGTGGCCCCCCACTTTGGAAGCAGATCTCTAATATAGAAACCCAGTGTTTATGTAGCTGCTGCCACACAGCCACCAAAACTGCTTTTAAGCAACTGCTCTTCTTTGCTGCTTCCCTCTCTTTCCCCAAGCTCTAAATGGTGTGTAGGAGTGCTCCAGGATTCAGTGCTCTGACCCCTTTTTTATGAATTTATCTATCTAGCTAAGTAATCTCATTTAGCCTCGGGCCTTTTAAGATCACCCACTGAAAACTCCAGCCCCAACCTTTCTTCTAAACGTGTCACATTCATATCTAGCCACTTGCTTAAAATCCTTACTTGGAGGTAGCTCAAATTTAAAATACACAAAATACATCTCTTACTTTCATTTTACAATTCTCTGCTGCGATATACAAACATGCACGCACGCACACACACACACACACACACACACACACACACACACACACACACACCAAACACACTTCCTAGAATATTCCTCACTCAGAGATGAAGGGCGAATTCATTCAGCCAGTTCTTGCAATTTCTCAGGCTGAAAACCTGGGAGTCATCATTGACTCTTCCCTTTCTCTCCTGTGTAACTATAAACATGATCCAAAGTCCTTTTGCCCTCACCTCCACCATAAGCCTATCCCAGGCCACCACTGCCTCTCAAGTGGATTGTTACACGAGCTGTCTAATGGCCTCCTTGCCTCCACGATTCCAGTCCCACAGCCTCTTCTCTGCAGACCAGTCAGTGAATTTCTTGAAATATGAAGTCGGATCAGGCCAGTTCTTTGCTCGTAATACTCCAATGCTTTCCTACTTCACACAGAAAAGAAACCAAATCATTAACCATAATTTACAAAACCACGCACATTCTGCCTCACCTTGACCTTAAAGCTCTGACCTTACCTCCCCAATCCCTTCCACTCCCTCTGAGCTCCAACCGTACTGGCATACTCAAACATGGCAAGTAGCTTCCCCATGACCTTTGCACTTGCTGTTTCTCTGCCTAGAATGTTCTTCCCAGAGAAAAACCATTATTTCCTTCAAATTTCTGCTCACCTTATCAGAGAAGTCCCTGGCCCTCCTATGTAAAAAGGGAAGCCACTCAATATGCTGCTCCATGAAGACAGGACTTGGGTGTTTTATTCTCCACCTTACCCACAGCAACTAGAACACAGATTGGCACAGGGTTGGTGCTTTTAAAGAACTTGTTGAATACAGAAATGACATCATTTTAGAGACCTCATGACATCATGTTCCCTAACAGCAGGTCACATGGTTGCTGGCTATGGCTGGAGGATGTCCCACTGGAATTGTCCTACTTCAGCCAGAACAGCTAATAATAATCTGGGTGTCATGATGAGTATCGGAAATACATCCAGAAACCTTATCCTGCGCTGGTACCCAACCCTGGAGGGCCTGCACCTGGAGTATTACCTGCAGGTTTAGCTGTTACAGCTCAAGAAGATCCAAACAAAACTAAGTACAAGGGCCCAGGAAATAGGACTTCCAGAAAAAAGAGTGGGATACTTCAGCCTGGAGTGACAAAAGGTGAGAGAACATCATCAAGTCTAGGAAATTAAAATGTGAACTTGAACATCAAATCAAAGACTCCAAAGAAGTGGAGGGAAACTCTCTAAAACATGGAAGGTAGGATGGTGTGATGGAAATTCACATAGGCAATGACTTGGGCACACTTGAGTTTAAACCTAAGGTCTGGCTGTGCGATCTTGGACATGAACTACTATGGGCTAGTACTTGTATGTACAATTAAGATAAAGGCACCTGTGTCACAAGTACCACTGTGGAGAGAATGCACATACAAGGCACACAGCAAATGCTTATTCCAGTCCTGTGATAAGGAAAATACTGGGAAAAATAAAAGGAAGACCTAAAGCAGAAGGCAAGCTTAGGTAGGTTTTGTTATAGGATGGAAAGGATCAAGTGAAGTGACAGAGGTAGACCATTTATATTATCATATATTCATTCTGCATTTCACAATCATTAACCTCTTTTCACTGACTTAATCTCCTTGGACCTCACAAACTATCTAATAAGGTAAGAAAGATAGATGGTATTATTAAACCCATTTGCAGATGAGAAATGGAGGATGGGATTTTGTTTTAAGTTCTCTTAATACTTGTTCATTCTCCCACTCCACAGGGCCTCTTCATAGGATTTAAATTACTCCTCAGAAGAGCACTAAGCTTAGGAGGAACTCGGTGAAGATATCTGAGGACTTGATCTGTAAGTGGTGTTACCAAACTCAATCCTCACACCTCATAAAATATTATTAAATATATTCAACAGGGTGGGACCTGGATCTTATTCTCGAACAAGTTTCTCAGCCCACTGTGTGCTGTCCTTAACTGGGCAAGAACGCGGCCCATTGGTGAGGCGTGCCCACAGAGATTGTTCCTCCTGCCTCTGTGTTTGGAGGGTATGTTATTATGCATTCCCAAGGGTGGAGGGCAGGCTTGAGATGCCCAGGTCTTCAGTCACAATAATGCCAGTTACCAAAAACAGCAAAACCAAATTTATAACATATGTTTCCACAGCCTCAAATACCCACCATGTGTCCCATGACCTTCTGTCTTTAAACAAATACCAAACAAGGAGATTCAATTATTCAGTCAGTCTAATAAGGAATCAGTTTATACTGAAACACAGTGGTGGGTTTATGTAATTGTACACTTTGGTCACACTGAAAGCTTCATGCAAGCTTGTAGCCAGAGTCAAGAATGATTCCTACCTTTATAGTGAAACTAATACCTAGGCAATTGATCCTCAAAGGAGAAAAAGCCAATCACACCACATCAATTTGGGGAATGAAAAGCAATGGAAAAACAGCATTCATTCCTCCATTCAATAAATATTTATTGTACTCTTTTGAAGTGACAGGAGATATACAAGGTATTGGGAATAGAAATGTAAAAGAAACAGTCCTTGGTCTCAGGAGTTCAGGAGTTTGTGAGCAGACAGACACTGAGCAGTGTGAGCCATTTATAATATAATGCAATAAATATTATGATGGAAAAAATTACAAGGTTGAATGGGACTTTACACTGCATAATTCTTAAGTGTTGCTAAGATATGTCACCTCAGCAGTCAGGGTGACCAAAGGGTCCCAGCTATCCTGGGACTTTCCTGGTTTTACCACTCATAGTGCCATATCCTAGGAAATCTTCTAGTCCCAGGCAAACAGGTATGGTTGGTCATCTTACCTGTGATGCTAAACCAAAAAAACCATTATTTTGCTCTCTTACAAGACCAAGTTCATTCCCAGAGGCCAGTGGGATCAGAACGACCTCATTAGACGGAAGGCTCAGTGGTTGATGGGAAAGTCGATGATGTTTCAAGGCTCTGCCAGATACAAATGAGAGTCAGCCTGAGCCAGAGTTAAGAGAGCTCAGGGTCTATGAACATGCATGGTTTCCCTGGCCCTTGACTAGAATCTTGGGCCAGCTATTTAACCTTTAAGAGCATTTACTGGTTCATCTGTAAAACTGTCATAAATATGGCGTTAGTCAGGATAAGCCAGGTTATGCTGCTAAATCTTAGCGGCTTATAACCACAAGAGTTTATTTGCACTGCAGGTCAGCAGGGGCTGCGCTGCTCACCTCCTCATTCAGGAGTCACGTGGATGGAGCAGCCGCCACCTCAACTGTTGCCTGTCTCCAGATCAGAGGGAAAAAGAAATATCCTTCCTGCCTCAGAAAATGTTTTCTTACCATCCACCAACAATCCCTAAACCAACGCCAGGGGATGACTTTAGGCCTTTCTGTTGAAGCAGCATGGAACCGTGCCTGTTCTGACGAGAGGGGTGGCCCGGTGGTGCAGATGTGGCCCACAGAGGAAGGAGAGTAGTGAAGAGTGTTTGGTGCCAGCTTATGGGGTGATGTGAATGCCCTTGGACACCATCTCCTCAGATTACTCATTTAAACTCTTTGTTTAAAAACCAAAGTTAGTGTTGAGGTGAAGGCTAAGGTTTGGCTGCTACTAAGATTCAGCATTCCTGGCTTGACCTTTACACAAACTTGTAAGTTTCTCACAGAGAAACACTTTTTCCACAGCCACAGACTGCAGTCCTGGTCCCACCCAGCTCTTCTGACAAATCACGAGCAGCCGGTCACAGGGCCAGAAAGCGTGGTTGGCACCACAGGGCCCCTCCCTGCTACTGAAAAAACAACTATCTGCATCAGTCCATGTTTTTAAAATGGACGTTTTTAAGCCACTGGATCATTTGGAACATACTTCCCAGGAGTTTCATAGCATTTTAACTCTATTCCCCTCCATTTGAGTCTCATTTTAAGTTTCCTGTTCTTGCTAAAAATAGTCATAAACAAATCCTGTGGTCTGTATCTCAAAAAGGGAAACATATGTGAAGTCCAGTTACCATCTTTTCTCTGAGAATGGATGAGCTCTGCTTCCTGGAGGGTAACATTCATTTGCACGTTGCCCTTTGATCGGCAGTAAATGATGCATCTGAACTAATGGCTTCTCCTTTAGAAATCCTTAGAAAGGACTGGGTGGAGAGCCATGACATCCAATCACAGAATGAGGAGCAAGAAGCATTTTCCACAAGGGATCACTCAACAGGGGTTTCAACATGGCTGAATTTTTGTATAACTGAAGTCATCCATTAAGTTCTGATGAGCATGTGCATAACACATTGGCTATGTGGCTGGGACATCAAAAAAGCTTTCACCTTTTAGTTAAGTGAAGGAAGTATTTCCCTTAGTCTCCTGGGTGAATGGGTCCTTTTAAACAAAAATTCATGTAAGTTTCATTGGGTTTAGGAGATTCCTATCATGATCTTGCTTGGAAATGAGTTGTCCTATGGGCGGAGGTGAGTTTTGTAGTGACTGATTTCCTCCTCTGCACAACATAGCAATTACTTAGCTGTGTTCTTATGTATTACAGCACATTCTCTATTAGCTCAATTTAGTTAGTTTCACTCCTGATGACACTGGGAATGAGATTTCAGTATATAATCTCATGAGGACCCCTAGACAGGAAATTGTCCAACAGCCAAACTCCTGTGAGACAGCAAGAGACCTGCTTGCATCTGAAGGTGAAGATGTTGGATGCTGGGAGCCTGGAAACAAGCAGAGGAAATGGTTCCTGGGGATAAAGGGAAAATCTCCCAGGCAGCACACAGCCCAGGAAATAATTGCCTTTCCTACCAAAGTCCTTAGAGGTCTAGTAGGTCCCTCCTTTGTTCATAACCAAAAGGCCTTCACAGACTCACAGGCAGTGAGAATTCTAGGAGATACATTTTATGGACAGCATTCTCAGAATGCACTCTGAGTACAATGGACTGCAGAGCCACATTGCCTGCATTGCATGGAACTGTGCGCTCCTAAACAGGAACAGCAGAAGGAATTAATATGCCCAACATGGGTGCTTCAAATGCCTAAGGTCCATGAAGGGGTTGAGGGAATCAGAAACTATACCCAAGATTCAAAAAAAATTTTATTCCCTTACATATTGATTCCTTCAGTGAGTGTTTATTATGTACAAGATGCTCTGCTAGGCCCTGGGAATTAACCAGCAAATGTGACAGCCCTGGCCCCTGATAGAACAAAGCTGAAGCTCATGTTCCACTGGAGTTGCCCAGCATTATACAACTGCTTTCAAAGTTAATTATTTAATTAAAATTGTGGCACATGTTGCAAAGAGAAATAAAATATATTAGGAGAGCATATAAAAGGGGACACCACCTGATCTGAGGACATGTTGTAGCGATTAAGAGCCACCAAAGGATGAATTATAGTCAAGTAGGCAAAGAGGTGAAAGAAGAACACTGCAGACAGAGAACAGGAAGTGCAAAGGCCCTCAGGTGAAGAGGAGAATGGCCCTCTCAAGGGACTGAGGCCGCAGGTGGCTGAAGCACAGATGATGAAAGGTGAGAAGAGGACAAGGCTCTGAAGGCTGTCAAGGTTTTGAGGCTTGAGCTGGAGGAGGGGAAATGATTCACTGTTAAGTTATGCAAGTAACATAAATTATTGTTTTACTTGTAACCCAACAGTAAGTCAAACAAATCACATAATACAAAATAATATGAAAAATTCCATGAGAGGCTCCTTTCTTCATCAACCCTCCACCCCAATCTCATGTTGGAGGTAACCACTATGAACAGTTTTGTGTGTGGGTTTTCAAATTTACTGCTATAAATATCTTTTAAGGAGAGTTGTTTTGCACTGTACTTATGTAAATTAAATTATACAATGCATATTATTGTGAAATTTTTCTTTTCACTTAATAGTATGACTTAGAAAGTTTTCAATACTTGGATCTACCTCATTCTCTTATTTAACTATTCTTCTATTAGTGGATCTTTTTTTAAGGTTACAAGTAGTATTGGAGATGAATTCCAGAAATGTGGTATTCTAAGCCAGCATTGAAGCCACCCTCTCACACTCTATACAACAGAAATTCTCTATTAACTACGACCAAAGAAATGTTTAAATACAAAGCTAAGCTCAAAAGCAGGAGAGGAAAATCCACAGTTGCCAGAAAGGAAAAGAGCTTGA